AAAAAGGCCAGGCAGGGTGGTGTGCACATGTATTCCCAGCTACTCAGGAGGCTGAGATGGGAGGATGGTTTGAGCCTGGGAGGTAGAGGTTGCAGTGAGCCTAGATCGCACCACTGTATTCCAGCCTGGGCAACAGAGCCTGACTCTGTCTGAGAAGAAAAAGAAAAGAAAGCCCATACCTATTAGTAGTCACTCCACCTATTAGTAGTTCCTCCCCATTTCCTTTCCTGCTCCTCCCAGCCCCCGGCAACAATGACTCTGCTTTCTGTCTCGATGAATTTGTCTATTCTGGACATTTCACATAAAGGAGTAATATAATATGTGACTTAAGTCTCTTTTAATACGTAGACTTATTCCCCCTCTTTTATTCCTCTCTCTCATTTAGTTAGAAGTTATTTTTCCTGTAAACTTTTCTGCTTTCTGGATTTTATTGACTATGTCACTGAGATGTCACTTCACATGTTCTTCTGTGTCTGTGTTTCCTTCCTGATCAGATTCAGGTTCAATCTTTTTGGCAAGAATACCTCATGGGTGGTTTTATCTATTTCCTGTTGCATGCATCACACTAGGTGACATATCATATCTGTTTTTCTCCTACATTATATTTTGAAGCACGTAAATCAAAGACAAACCTAATCAATGACTTTGATACAGATAAAATTTGTAGAATATAATTTTTATTAGAATGTTAGAAGGGTTAAATAGCAGATTGGTAGAACAAAATATGTCACTGTTATCATAAATATCCAATATATTGAAAGGGACTCTTAGAACTATAAATTAGTATGCTTCATTTCTATACCAAGAAGCTCACATATTCTTTGATAAAAGGATGATGTTACTAAATTTAAGTAGGTCTAACCTATTAGACAAAGAGAACACATAGTGTATGAAGAGATGTCAGGAGATTAAATAACTATGTGGTTAAAGGTAAGCCAGTGGAGGTAATCTGTTTTGATGGTCAAAAATACTTTAGCATTTCATTGCAAAACCAATTGAAGAAAAAAAAATATATATATGATGTGGGGATTACTGTTATTCAGTAAGGAAATGACTTTTGAGAAAGAATCAAAGATAAAACGATTTGCCGACTTTTTAGACCTAGACACGTGAATTGTGGAATTATTTTAGGAGTGGATGCCTGGGGATCTAGTTTGTTTTAACGTTAAAAAAATCATATGGGAGGGGGAGTGCAAAATAATCAGTTGTGCAGATGATGTAAAATTGTTGTGGATAGTAAAATGTCAGGTTGATGGAGGTCAGTTGTAGAATTAACTCATGGAGCTTTGTGTGTAGGATTATGGGTAAATCCTCTTAGGATTTAGCTGTGTAAAGACAATCTAAACAGTACAGTGGCCTTGGGCGTCGTCATACAGGTCCCTGAAGATAGCATGCCAAATAGGTAAGCCTGGCATATAGTAGCAATTTAGTGACGGTATGCGGCCTGAAGGGGAAAAATGAAGCATCTGACATAGCATGTACCACCAAGAAGTGTGTTGCCCACCAAATAGGAAATGTCCGTCCTGCAAAATGATATTTCTGTACTGTGGTTACTTTGTTTCAAGAAAGATAGTGGAATAGGGAAGATCCAGAAAAGGAACTTCAGTGATCAGATGGATCACTTTGCGTTGCAGTGGGGCGATGGCCATATGAAAAACAGACTAAGAGAGTATAGTAGATTTCAGACTGGAAGTCTAGTGAATGAGACTTGTCGCTCCTCTTCCAGGAGTAAAAAAGGATTGCAGATTTATCACTAGATTCTTACATAGTAAAATTAGGGTGTCTGCTTTTCAATATATGAAAGAGTTAAATTTGGAACAAATAATGCTAAGCGGTATTTTATATAACAAGCATAAATTATTTACAACTCATTTCCCCAAGAGGTAATGGAGCTTAAACATGAATAACTTGAAAAGGTTATGTTATTGTGAATTATTATGGGAAATTAGAATGTTTTGAAGTCTAGGACATCCCGGGCCTTTAAGTTGATATACAGATTGGCACCACTGGTTCGTAAGCCACTCCTTACCTGCTCCTACCCAAGGCAAAATAGGAACAGATTTTGGTTTGTTTAATTGTATACGTTTTCCGATTGTGGAAATGTCTAATGTATTATTCCTTATAGCCCTGTACTACTCCATCAGTGTTAAGGAGTTTTCAATGTATTTTGGGCTGGAGTGCCTCTCCAATGTCAAGCAGTAAAGATATTATGTGTTTGTTGCATTCTTCTTTTCAGACTTTGATAGAGGTTCCCTCAGGGCTGCTTTCTTTTCCTTTCTTTAAAAGCCAGGGAATGTTAGTATGAAATATAAACTCATTGTGTTTTGTTTGTCCTCCTGCACAAGTATTTTGTCGTCCCTCAGGTATTTCCTTAGCAGTCTGCTAATAAGGAACTGGAGTTGGTTTCATTTCCTTTTGCATTCCTTTTCCAGGCGTATGGACCTTGATGTTTTCGACAAAAGAGGCTGCATGCAGATGACTAGCCGAATAGTTTTTTTCAATATGCAATTTGTTTTTAAAGGAAGACAGGGGCTCGAGTTAGTTTCTGTTATACATTTTGACGACTTTTAAGTATCGAGTCACACAGTTATTAGGTATAGATTTTAATGGCATCTTTTATGTTTGACTTTTGATGTCTTTTACAAGATAGCTCTTAATTTTTAAAAGTTCTTAATTTAAAATAATAAAAGCACATGGTACAAAATGCAAAAAAGTACAGAAAGATATGCTTTAAAAAAATAAAAGTTTTCTCTTTCCCTTGTTGCCAGTCACCTAGTTCCCTTCCTTTTAGGCAACCATTATTACCAGTTTCTCGTGTATTTTTCCGGAGATACAGTAGGATTATATAAATATATATGTGTGTATATGTTTTTATTACACAAATGGTACTGTACTATATATCTTGCCTTTTTTCACTTAAAGTAAATCCTAGTGATTGAGTAGTGAGCAATATAATTCTTTTTAAAGCTGCATATTTTACTGGATGACTGTAATTTATTTAACTAATCCCTCCTGGGTTGTTTATCTAGTTTTCTGCTATTACACATAGTACTGGGCCGGGCGTGGTGGCTCACGTTTGTAATCCCAGCACTTTGGGAGTCCAAGGTGGGTGGATCATGAGGTCAGGAGTTGGAGACCAGCCTGACCAACATAGTAAAACCCTGTCCCTACTAAAAACACAAAAAATTAGCTGGGCCTGGTGTTGGGTGCCTGTAATCTCAGCTACTTGGAAGGCTGAGGCAGGAGAATCGCTTGAACCTAGGAGGCAGAGGTTGCAGTGAGCTGAAATTGCGCCACTGCACTCCAGCCTGGGCGACAATGTGAGACTCCGTCTCAAAAAAAATATATTAAAAAACCAATGCTTCAGGCTGGGCATGGTGGCACACGCCTATAATCCCAGCACTTTGGGAGGCCAAGTCAGGCAGATAATTTCAGGCCAGGAGTTCGAGACCAGCCTGGCCAACATGGTGAAACCCCATCTCTACTAAAAATACAGAAATTACCCAGGCATCATGGCGCATACCTGTAATCCCAGCTACCCAGGAGGCTGAGCAGAGAATCACTTGAACCTGGGAGGCGGAGGTGGCAGTGAGCTGAGATTGTGCCACTGCACTCCAGCCTGGGTGAAAGAGTGAGACTCCATCTCAAAAAAAAAAAAAAAATTAATTAATAATGCATTAGTGAATTTCCTTCTATATTTCTCACACACGTACACACACATACGCGCCTAATTATTTTTGATAACTATTTCTACCTTCCTATTGTATAAAACCTACACGCAGTATTCAGCAAAATCCTGTTTTATTTCCTTTATATAATGAAAATGAAATGTCGTAATGATGTATCTAAGTAAAATTTTCTAGTAGTTGAACATATAGAACACATTATAAGAATTTCGGTATTTTTTTTATTCTCTCATCTTTGCATTGAAGATTTTGGTGCCTCTGGTTTTGCTGCGACAAATGCTTTTGGAGTTGACAAGGCGTGGTCAAGAATCTTTGAGTGCACTGCTGAAGTTTGGCGTGACATATCTGGAAGACTATTCGGCAGAGTACATCATTCAGCAAGGTGGCTGGGTATGAGCTGTTACACATTAAAAATATTTTCTGTAAAAAAAATTAGGTTCATTGTTACTGTTGTTTTTTTTTAAGAGACAGGTTCTTGCTGTGTTACCCGGGCTGGAGTGCAGTGTCTGGTTGCAGACACTGTCATTGTAGGCCTCAGTCTCAAACTCCTGGGCTCAGGTGATCCTGCTTCAGGTCCTGAATAGCCAGGAGTACAGGCTGGGGCTATAGGTGCCAACCGCTGTGCCATGCTCTGTCATACTTTTTGATATGTAATTATTATTTTTGTTCAGTTATTTTTAAATTTACCTTGTATATTCTTTAACCCCTGAATTACTTAGAAATGTATTTTTAAATTTCCAAATATTTACAAGTTTTAAAATTTTGTTTTCAATTACTGATTTAATTCTGTTTCGTCAGAAAGCATGGCCATCATGGCATTGAAACTTGAGTTATGACCTACTATCATGATCAGTTAGAAAATATATATTATATAGGGCTGGGCCCAGTGGTGCACACCTGTAATCCCAGTGCTTTGGGAGGATGAGGCAGTTGGATCACCTGAGGTCAGGAGACCAGTCTGATCAACATGATGAAATCCCATCTCTACTAAAAAATACTAAAAATTAGCCGGGCCTGGTGGCATGTGCCTGTAATCCCAGCTACTTGGGAGGCTGAGGCAGGAGAATCACTGGAACCCGGGAGGCAGAGGTTGCAGTGAGCTGAGATCACAGCAGTGAGCTCCAGCTTGGGCAACAGAGCAGCAACAACAACAAATATATACTTTTGTTATATATATAATATATATAATATAATATATATTATATCTAATATGTATTATATATTATTTTATATTTATATTTATATTTTATGTATTTAATATATACGATATATAATATATATATTTTATATATAATATTTATGTGTGTTTCAGGCAAATGCATATTCTCTAGTTGTTGGTGTAGGTCTGTACATGTCCATTCACATTTAATCAGTCTTAATCATTATGTGGTTTAAATCTTTCAATCATTTCCAATTTTTTGTCTAATTATTTACTAAGAGAGGCATGTTCAGATTTGTTGTAATTTGCCCAACAGAGAGTGCTTTTCATAAAGTATACTACACATTATTGTGTTTTAGCCACTATGCATCTGAGGGTTTAATTTTTTAAAAGTAAATTTAGTTGCTATGTATGCTAATATCCAACATACTAGGTTTATGTGCTTGGTAAATGCCTACTGAATAAAATCCTGAGCATTTGTCTTAAGAAAGTAAAAATATCTTTTGAGCTGTTCTTAAAAATAGGAATTGAGACCATTTATCATTATTGTTGTCTTCCTACTTTAGTACTTTTTAAAAACTTTGGCCAGGGTCGTGTGTGGCTTGTGCGAGAGCCAGGAGACATCCTAGGTTCATTGCCACTTGTCCTGTGTGGTGCTTTACAACTAAGGAAGAAAAATGCAGGGAATATTCTGTATTCCTTCTTGACTTTCAGTTTTCTTATGATGTAGTACATCCAGGTTTGTTTGGTGAATAATAAGTTGTATAATAAGTATATTATTAATCTCCAGTATTTGTGCTAAAAGAAAAGATCTGCTGCACGGATAACTAGTTCATTAATATTTCTTTTTTTTTGAAACAGTCTTTCTCTGTCATCCAGGCTTGAGTGCAGTGGTGCAATTGCAGCCCACTGCAACCTCTGCCTCCCAGGTTCAGGCTATTCTTGTGCTTCAGCCTTCCAAGTAGCTGGGATTACAGGTGTGCACCACCATGACCAGCTAATTTTTGTATTTTTAGTAGAGACAGGGTTTCACCATGTTGGCCAGGCTGGCCTGAAACTCTCGGCCTCAAGTGATCCACCTGCCTAGGCCTCCCAGAGTGCTGGGATTACAGATGTGAGCCACTGCACTTGGCCTTATTTATTTATTGCTGAAGGCCAATTTGCTGCCCGTCAGAAGCATATGCAATGTGAGAGGGCAAAAGGCAGGCTGTGGCTTCATTAATATTCCAAATGTGTTTTTATTTCTAAATTTGAATGCCCAATCTGTATTTTACATTGTTTGGTCTAAGCTCTCCATTTGCTTGTGTTTAAAAACTAAGAGCGAAACTCTGTCTCAAAAAA